CCACAGGCCTGTGAGATATGCACTCCTGGCACTGCGAGCCACAGGCCTGTGAGATATGCACTCCTGGCACTGCGAGCCACAGGCCTGTGAGATACACACTCCTGGCACTGCGAGCCACAGGCCGGTGAGATACGCACTCCTGGCACTGCGAGCCACAGGCCTGTGAGATACGCACTCCTGGCACTGCGAGCCACAGGCCTGTGAGATACGCACTCCTGGCACTGCGAGCCACAGGCCGGTGAGATACGCACTCCTGGCACTGCGAGCCACAGGCCGGTGAGATACGCACTCCTGGCACTGCGAGCCACAGGCCGGTGAGATACGCACTCCTGGCACTGCGAGCCACAGGCCTGTGAGATATGCACTCCAGGCACTGCGAGCCACAGGCCTGTGAGATATGCACTCCTGGCACTGCGAGCCACAGGCCTGTGAGATATGCACTCCTGGCACTGCGAGCCACAGGCCTGTGAGATATGCACTCCTGGCACTGCGAGCCACAGGCCTGTGAGATATGCACTCCTGGCACTGCGAGCCACAGGCCTGTGAGATATGCACTCCTGGCACTGCGAGCCACAGGCCTGTGAGATACGCACTCCTGGCACTGCGAGCCACAGGCCTGTGAGATATGCACTCCTGGCACTGCGAGCCACAGGCCTGTGAGATATGCACTCCTGGCACTGCGAGCCACAGGCCTGTGAGATACGCACTCCTGGCACTGCGAGCCACAGGCCTGTGAGATATGCACTCCTGGCACTGCGAGCCACAGGCCTGTGAGATATGCACTCCTGGCACTGCGAGCCACAGGCCGGTGAGATACGCACTCCAGGCACTGCGAGCCACAGGCCTGTGAGATATGCACTCCTGGCACTGCGAGCCACAGGCCTGTGAGATATGCACTCCTGGCACTGCGAGCCACAGGCCTGTGAGATACGCACTCCTGGCACTGCGAGCCACAGGCCTGTGAGATATGCACTCCTGGCACTGCGAGCCACAGGCCTGTGAGATACGCACTCCTGGCACTGCGAGCCACAGGCCGGTGAGATACGCACTCCTGGCACTGCGAGCCACAGGCCTGTGAGATATGCACTCCTGGCACTGCGAGCCACAGGCCTGTGAGATATGCACTCCTGGCACTGCGAGCCACAGGCCTGTGAGATATGCACTCCTGGCACTGCGAGCCACAGGCCTGTGAGGTATGCACTCCTGGCACTGAGAGGCCTGTTGCTCGGCACTGAGAGAGGCCTGTGGCTCGGCACTGAGAGAGGCCTGTGGCTCGGCACTGAGAGAGGCCTGTGGCTCGGCACTGAGACAGGCCTGTGGCTCGGCACTGAGAGAGGCCTGTGGCTCGGCACTGCCCAGGCCTCGGTGAGATACGCACTCCTGGAGCATGCGGGAGTGAGGGGTTGTTGACGAGAATTCCTCCAGTTTCACAGTCTCTCGGCTACTAGCTAGTGTTTCTTTTTTACACCGTTTTTCCTACTTGCTTAAAGCCTAGATTCTAAAAACTGCTCCTCACTGGAAGATGTCTGCTGATCTGCTGGTGAGACAGGCGCTCCAAGGAGAGGGTGGGGGAAGGAAGGGCGGATGGGGTCTACCTTTGAAGTGCCTAAAAAAATGTCTGACGATCTGCTGGTGAGACAGGCGCTCCAAGGAGAGGGTGGGGGAAGGAAGGGCGGATGGGGTCTACCTTTGAGGCGCCTCAAAAAATGTATGTCGATCTGCTGGTGAGACAGGCGCTCCAAGGAGAGGGTGGGGAAAAGGTAGAAAGGGTAGCAGTGGAAGCCTCGCCAGTGTAGCACGCGAATGGCGTGGCAAGCACGCCGGCACAGCACCCTCTCCTGCCGGCACAGATCCCCCACCTTCCCCCTCACCCACGTTTGCGAGTACAAGCCTCAGCAATAGAATGTGACAGTGGCGTGGCGTTACCATCTCGCCACTGCACCACGTGCTCCTGCTGCCCCACACACGCACCACAGAGCCTTCCATTTTCGTTTGTGGGGAGCCCTCAGAGGCTCCATCACCTACTGCCAGTTGCTTTACTTGAACAGCAACACCCAATAGGCCCTCCATTCCCCTTTGTCTCCTTTCCCCCTCAAACCCCCTCTCTTTTTTTCTACCAAAAAGCCTCACCAGTAGTGTGTGACAGTGGTGTTGCAAGCTGGCCAGCGCAGCACCTGCTCCTGTTGCCCCACGGGCACAGGAGCACTGGAGCCCTCCACTCCAATCTCTCTCTTCCCGTCCAGACCCTTTCATAAGTACAAGACTCGCCAGTAAAACGCGACAGTGGCGTTGCAGGCACGCCAGAGAAACACCCGCTCGTGCTGCCCCACGCTCACAGGCTCCGGGGAGCCCTCCACTATCCCCCCTCCCCCCCTCTCTCACTTCCCTCGCCCCTTGTTCACAACCATAAGCATACCCACCGTACAAGCCTCACCAGTAGAAGGCGACAGTGGCGTTGCAAGCAGGCCAGCGAAGCACCCGCTCCTGCTGCCCCACGCTCACAGGCTCTGGGGAGCCATGGAAGCGGTGTAGCAGGCAGATGAGCGACTCGAACATGTTCTCCGTTAACGAATCGCCCACAAACGCGACGCTCCTGTTCGCCACTAACGAGCACAAAGTGTTCCCGTTGAGCTTCGGGGCGGGGCACCGAGGTTGCTTGTAACGAAGCCGCTGGTAGAGAGTATCCGGCCTGCCGTTTTCCATGCACTGATTCCCGGTGTGCCAAATGAGGGGACAGTCTCCCGCCTTATAAAGAGGCCAATCCGAATCCTCCTCCCAGAACCCCTCGTTAGTGTCACATGGCGATTCCACGACCAATCCATCCAAACCCACTTTGACCTCCGCTAGTAGAGGGCCTTGATTGTTCTCCGTCAGCACAGAAGACGATAATAACGAGGATGAGGCCTCTTTACCGGATCCCATGCCATCCGCGACATAGAGTTCGGCTCTCCCCACGACATTCGCACGCTCTATCGGGTCGTCGCCTGTTGTCGCACGCGAATCCTGCTGCGACGCTGCGACAGTCGGATTCGGCTCTGCTTTCGCGAGGGACCCGGGAATGCGCGGGAATTCGCCAAGCTTCCGCCGAGTTGGTGGCTCGAAAACAGACTCCGCCTGTGCGACGGATCGCGAATGGCGATCTGCTGTGAAACTTTCGTTGGAAAGGAGCCGTCGTTCTATCGGAACGGGCGAGGAAACTGGTCGTGCGAGCGACGATCGTTGCGCTGCAGTTTGTTGCGAGAATAGTAACGAACGAGTTCGGTAATGCTTGAAGGAGAGGAGATTGCGTGATTTACGGCCTGTGCTGAATGGACGGTGGAGATTTGACGAGGAGATTGCGACGAGATGGGTGAGCAGTAGTAAGGCGAGGAGGAGAGAAGAGCGACTCATTCTGCTGCCTAAACGGGGTAGCATAGTAACGAGAACAAAAAAGTTCCGCTCCAATTTTTCACCACACTATACCGCTCCGTACCAGCTCTGAAACATAAGGCACAGGCTTGTTCCACATCATCCCGAAACCTCGCACCATTTCAGTCCGTTTGGAAGCTTCATTCCACACGCCCCTAGCCATACGCTGGGAAACTCAGCTGTGTGACCCCTACTCGCGCGGAGATAAGTGGTTCATATGTCAACTGGTGATCACAAAGCAACTCGTACACCATGGCAGCAGGTGGGGAGGATGTTTTTGTTGAAACTCGACAAGAGTCGCATCGTTTCAGTACATGATTTACAGAATACGGTGTATATTTTTTCAATTCCCAGAAGTAAGATGGGGAATTGCTGAAAGTGTGCACCCACCTGGGCAGATGCCTGTCTACAGTTCACATATCTTTCTCACTCTCTGTTCTTATGTAGAAGTGTGCATGTAGCTCAAGATTCGCGGGATGCTTCTAGTGAACCCATCCAGAATCGTGGACATATTCTGTTTCGTCAACACCCCAAGCCTTTGCGAACGAATGTAACTCTTCGTGAAAGCGCTCGCCTGAATTCGGATACAGCCTAGCACCACCACACAGTTGCTGCTCTGGACCAGAGCAATCCCCCTCCCCATGCCATGTCGCGTCGCGGCGCGTGGTGTGGTTGACGTCATTCAACCGACTAGCGCCGCCGTCTTCAAGCAGTTGCCGTGGTACAGTACCTTACCTCACCTTCCTCGTTGGAAAGCGCGCCTTCCTTGCTGTCCCGTCCATGGACGTCATAATTATCTCACTTATCATTTTCGATGCTCTTACCCGTCTCGCTTTCGTGAATCGGCGAGAATTGATTGAACAGCGCGGCAGCGGAAGGAGCGCTAGCTGGGTGGATTGCGAATCGCGCTCCCCTTGCGCTGGCGAATATTAGCGAGTGCGTGACATCCGCGCGTGTTACCGACGGCTAACCCCAGCCGCTGCGGCGCTCTGGCTAGCCGCCGTTGTGCACAATGGTTTCCCAATAGTTTTAAGGGAGATCGCGGTGTTAGGAAGCGCATCACAGGCGCTCGTCGTAGCGCGTGTGTAAGATCTTTCGCTGCCCCGTTTGCCTTTCACGTCAGCAACTTCTCTTTTACGCTGCCTCGAGAACGATCCGTATAAGCACCTCGTCGCACAGGAACTGTAGCGAAGTACCGTCGACAGTGTCGGGTTAACATGGACCCTAAATTTAGCGAACGTCGCGATTCCATGTTTCGCGTCTCTCCAAAACCGCCAGCCGACCAATGCCAATCTCAGGCGACAGTTACACCTTCGCAGCAATTCGCCAAGGGTTCGCCGAAGTCTTCAGCCCGAGCAGCTGTGGCGAGCTGCGTATCCCTTCCCCGCCTTTTCGCTCTCCTCGTCGTTCTAGGGTGCGCCGGCTTGTGGCCGGCTTTTCTCCGCAACGCCGCGAATCACGCCGACGATCGCGGCGCTAACAGCGGGGATACCGTCTCAGAGTCGTCGGATAGCCTAGGCAGGCCAAACGGCTTCTTCACCGTGTTTGGCGGACCGTCCGCGATTCGCGGCGGATTCTCCGCGCGGCAGCTGATGGAGATGACGTCAGAAGGCGCTTCAAGGGGCGGAGGGCGCCGCGAAGGGGGGACCATGCTGACGTGGCGCGACGATGTAGCTGTAGCGGAAGGGCAAACGGAGATGGGGGAAGGGGGAAAGGAGGAAGGGGCGGGAGAATCAGCGATGGCGGAGGGGGAGGCGGAAGGGGAGCATGCGGAGGGAGGGGAGGAGCGCGCAAACCCTGCTAGCCCGTCTATTGCGCCAGACGCAGCGCTCGCCACGGCATTCCACGCGCGGGAGCAAGGGGCGGACAAAGCGCCTGAAGCGCTGCGCGCTGCCTCGGGGGACGAGGAGGCGGCGCGGGAAGCAGAGGGCGCGGAAAGAGGGGTGGGGATGGGGGATGGGCGGAGGGAGGGGGGGGAGGGAGGAGAAAGAGGAGGAGAGGGGGGCAAGGAGGGAAGCGTGGATGGAAGGAGGGACGAGGATGACAGAGGAGAAATGGGAGTAGGGGAGGGCGAGAGAAGGGGATTGGGGGGAGGGGAAGGAGAAGGGCAGGGAGGAGGGGAGGGAGGAGGGAATGGAGGAGGGGAGAGAGGAAAGGGAGGGAAGGAAGGGGAGGAAAGGGAGGGAGTGGTGAGAGGGAAGGGAGGGGAGTGGGGGTGGCGGTGGGTAGATGAGAAAGATGCATCCTGGCCGCTCTACTCCGCTGCATCCTGTCCGTTCATCTTCCCCGGCCAGAACTGCCGATCCAACGGCCGCAACGACACGAGGTTTGAGCGATACGCGTGGCGGCAGGGAGGGGAGAGGAGCGGGGACGGCCGGGAGGACTGGGGGGTACGGGAGGAGGTGGGGGGAAAGGAGCGGTCGTGGTGTGACGCGCTGCGGGGCGTGCGGCATGGGAGAGGGGAAGGTGCAATGACACCCAATGGAATGATGACACGTGTGGCATACATAGGGGACAGCGTGATGCGCAACATGTTTGAGAGCATGGCGCATGGGGGAGGGGTAGGGGGAGGGGGAAGGGGAGGGGGAGGTAGACCCATGACACGTGTGGCGTACATAGGGGACAGCATGATGCGCAACATGTTTGAGAGCATGGCGTGCATGCTGCACTCGCACCCCCGGTGTGGCGACAATCCCGAGGTGGTGCGGGCGAACGTGGTGGAGCGGGTGATCAGATGGGACACCTGCAACGTTACCCTCGCTAATCTCAGGTAAATTCGCTGTTGTGCCACACAAGAGCCGGCAATCCCAAGGGGAGGGGGAGATTCCAAGGAGGTATGATTCGTACGTAGGAGACCTCCATTGGCCCAATTGTTCTCACGGAGATCTCTTCAAGTAACCCAAGGATGAGCTCAAAGGCGCCGCTTCACACCCCCTTAAAACCGGAGTCTCAAGAAGCCCAAAAGTGTCTCATCCTACTCCCTCTCCCCCAGGAGCAATTTCTCAGGGAAGAATCTTTCAACGAGCCCCAGGGACGAGTTTCAGCAGACCACCTTCACTTTTAGTCTCCACTCCTTCACACCCCTCTGTACCGCACATGCATCACTCCCCTGCTCAGCTCCTCTGACTTGCCAACCCCCGCGTTCCTTCCATCCATCCCTCCCCCCCCACTCTTCCTCCTGCCCATCCCGCATCCCCCTCCTTTCCCCATTCCCCATCCTCCATCCCCCCTCGTCCATCCCCCATCCCCCCTCCCCCCTCCTACATCCCCCATCGCGCCTGCCCCCTCGCCCCAGGAGCAACTTCTGCACGAAATCGCATTCACTCTGCACCTCTCTCTGCGTGACCCTCTGCACCTCCCGTGCATTGCTTCCCTGCTCTCTTGCCTAACCAGCCCATTCCTGTCCTTCCCGTTCCCCCCAGGAGCAACTTCCTCACCGAGATCATTTTTAAGGGCCCCACGCACAGACGAGTTGAGAGGCGCCACTCTCTACCTGTCCCGTCTCACAGCCACACCCACCACATGCATTGCTTCTCTTCTACACCCATCCCCCCTGTCATCTCACGCTGGTCCTCTTGTCCCCCCCATCCCCCCCTCCCCCAGGAGCAACTTCCTCTCGGAGATCTCTTTCATTCCAAGCGTCGGGCACGCCCGGCAAGCACCAGTGGGCGCAGTCAGCCTGGCCGCCAGCCAATCCCGAGAAGACACCTGGATGCCCGTCATGTCTCATCACACTCATTGCTGCCACTTCTAGCAGCACCACTCTTGCTCCATCTGGCCTTTGCACTTCCTGTCGTTGTCTCTCTACCCTTTGTTCCTCTAGCCTTCTGCTCTCCACTCTCGCTCCCTCTAGCCTTCTCCTCTCCACCCTCTCTCCCTCTCGCAACCCTTCCTTGCGCCGCAACCCTTCCTCTTGCCGCAACCCTTCCTCTTCCCGCAACCCTTCCTCTTGCCGCAACCCTTCCTCTTGCCGCAACCCTTCCTCTTCCCGCAACCCTTCCTTGTGCAACATCCCTTCCTTTTCCCGCAGCCCTTGCTGCTGCATTGATGCCTTCTGCTGCTGTAAGGCCCAGCCTGCTGTGCCCCCGTGCTGCGACAAGCGTGCGATTTGCAATGAGCTGTTTGCATTGAGCATCGCTTGCCGCCCTGCATGTAGCAAAGCTTTCCGCCTGGAGAAAATTTCCTCTGCTGCTGTTGCTTCTGCTGCTGCTGTTGAACCACCAACCAGCAGCAGTAATTTCCTCCTCCTGCTCCCGGACTCGCTCTCTCCTAATCTCTTCCTCCTCTTGTCCTCTCTCTCCCTCTGCGTCTTCTGATACTCCCGCACCTCCTCCCTCACCACCGCATTCAACCGCTCTACTCGCTCCCACTGTTCCTCGTACTCGTTAAAAGCCTCCTCCTCATTCTCCACAGGCTCCGCCGCATCGCACTGCCCGCGTTTCTTAACGGATTTGCTCTTTTTGCTCTTAGAGTGCTTCTTTGCACTGCTTGTCTCAAGCAATCTTCGCCGCTTAGCTAAGTGTCTAGAGGAATCAGAGTCTTGGCCAAGTGGGGATTCTAGGGAGTTCAGTGCGGTACTTTGAAAGGAGTGGGAGTTGGTTGTGTGGTCATGAGAATGGGGAGAGGAGGGTTTATGGGAGAAGTGGTTGGGGGAAGAGGTGGTGATAATGACAGTCTTGTTGGTCATATGGCGCGATGCAAAGCGGTGCAGAGTGGTGCGGATGGCTCGGCGGAAGGCAGAGAGGACGTTAAGGGATTTGTGGGGTGGGGAGAAGCTGACGTGGCGCTCTGTGAGCTTGCCACGTGTCCACCAGTGGCCTGAGTAAAGAGGAAGCGCATGATCAAGGAGAGAGGTGAGAGAAGAAGAGAGGGGGGAGTTGAGGGAGCGAGGGAGCAAGGGGAGTTGAGAGTGGAAGGTGAGTGACAAGAGAAAAGCAGCAAGAGAGAGAGAGCAATGTGTAAGGACACTGGGGGTAGCCATGACTGCAGTGGCCTAGCAGGGAGGGATCTCACCAGTCCGAGTAAGTAGGGCCGGGGCGCGCCGGTAGGAACAGTAGCAGCTCAGTGGCAGGGCGGCTCGGCGGCTCGGCTGCGAGGTTACTGGGCGGCTCGGCGGCTCGGCGACTCGGCTGCCGGGCGGCTCGGCGGCTCGGCTGTTGGGCGGCTCGGCTGCTGGGCGGCTCGGCAGCTCGGTTGCTGGGCGGCTCAGCGGCTCGGCGGCTCGGCTGCTGGGTGGACAGCTGCTCAGCTGCTGGGCGGCTCAGCGGTGAAGGGGCCGGTAGAGGCGGCGATGGGGCCGCTAGGGGCGGCCACGGGGCCGCTAAGGGCGGCGAGGTGGCCGCGAAGGGCGGCGACGGGGCCTCCAGGGGCGGCGACGGGGCCGCTGGGGGCGGTGACGGGGCCGCTGGGGGCGGCGACGGGGCCGCTGGGGGCGGCGACGGGGCCGCTGGGGGCGGCGACGGGGCCGCTGGGGGCGGCGACGGGGCCGCTGGGGGCGGCGACTGGGCCGCTGGGGGCGGCGACGGGGCCGCTGGGGGCGGCGACGGGGCCGCTGGGGGCGGCGACGGGGCCGATGGGGGCGGCGACGGGGCCGCTGGGGGCGGCGACGGGGCCGATGGGGGCGGCTACGTGGCCGCGACGGGGCCGCAAGGGGCCTAGAGGGGCGGCGACGAGGCCGCGAAGGGGCCGTAAGGGGCCTAGAGGGGGCGGCGACGGGGCCGGAAGTGGCGGCGACGGGGCCGCGAAGGGGCCGCGAGGGGCCTAGAGGGGCGGCGACGGGGCCGCTAGGAGCGGCGACGGGGCCGTAAAGGGGCCGCGAGAGGCCTAGAGCGGCGGCGACGGGGCCTAGAGCGGCGGCGACGGGGCCGTGAAGGGGCCGCGAGGGGCCTAGAGGGGCGGCGACGGGGTCGCTAAGTATGGCGACGGGGCCGCTAAGGGTGGCGCGAGGGGCCTCTAGGAGGGCGCGACGTGAGGGCGGCCTACGGGGCACTCCTCGGGCAGAAAAAAAAGATCGAGTTAGGTGGTGGGCCCTGAGAAGCGTTCCCACGAGGGAACCTGCTCTATACCATGTTAAGAATGAGGAATGAATGAATTAGGAAACAGGTGGGTACAAGTAGGAAAACCTAGAAGTGTTGTACCCCATATTGTCTACCCCACTACAGCCTACACAGACTATAGCATATAAGTTTGACAAATATAACTACAACGCCCAAGCTAATCGGCTACGTCGACGCCGATCACGCCGGAGATTCTGACAACAGGCGCTCGCGCACAGGCTACATCTACCGTCTCGAGCCTATCGGACCTATTTCGTGGCAGTCGAGCAAACAGGAATTAATCGCCATTTCCTCAGCTGAAGCTGAATATATCGCACTTTGCTCAGCCACCAAGGAAGGACTCTACCTTCGCGAACTTCTGGAGGAAGCAAAGCTGGCCCAGTTACCCAGCTTCTCCCTATTTTGTGACAACCAGTCGGCAATTCGCATAGCCAACAAAAATGGATTTGCGAACAGGACGAAGCATATCGCCCTGCGATATTTCTTCGTGAAGGACGAGATCGAGAAGGGGAGACTCGAGCTGTCTTACCGCCCCACATCCGAGATGGCAGCTGATCATTTGACCAAGAAGCTCGGAAAGTCGAAGTTCGAATATTGCATGCTGATGACTGGACAGAGCCACGTCACCTGCAGCGACACTCCAGAAGCGAAGGGGAGTGTTGGAAACAACTAATTTAGGCGCCTCTGTCATGTCGAAACACCAAGACAGAAGCGAAGTAGCTTGTATCGAAATATCGGTGAGTCAACCCTCAGAGGTTGAATAACTGTTGGAGGTTACGCGAAAGTCAAAGGTCAGCGACCTTTGACCTGACAAATGCAGCGCGACAGCAAGGACAAACAACTGTCTCGATACTGAGCAGTTGCCCGAGTCGACACTGTATCGAACCGCAACAGCAACAGTAAAACAGTTAACTGTATCTCTTCATATTCCTTTGTATTTTTATAAAAGCTTGTATCTCTTTTATTATTATCAACTTACTTTGCTCTCACATACAAGCGCAAGGTGGTTCACAATCATTTATTTAACGCTTCCGCTATTAGATCATCCTACCCTTGAGTTCTGCCCTGCAAAGATCCTAAGGGCTTTCTCAGCCCAACACAGAGTTCCCATGGCTCAGCCGCAGGGGGAAAGAAAAGAACCCTATTCCAGTGTTGTCTGATAGCCTAGACACCAGTAGTGAGGATTATAGTGGAAGCGATTCTGACTGAACCGTAGGTTAATCTGGATGTCCAGCAAGTAGAAGTAAGACTGTTAGAAGTTTGTAGGTAGTAGTGTGTAGAAGTTGTGTAGATGTGTAGACCATAAAAAAAAAAAAAATCAGACTAGTGTTAAATTTTCATCTGATATTTCAGATTATTTTTAAGTTGCATCTCACACGTCAGACTACAAAAAAAATCATAATCTGAACGTAAGACATTTTTTTTATATATACACATGTTGTCAGACTGGCCAGAATCCTAGCGAGAGCCCTGGGTAGCGAGCTGTTAGAGACATGGAAAGAAAACAGAGCAGAAGTTTAATTAAAAAGGCTACTCACCCTGCTGCTATGGATTGCTTCTAGTGACTTCTGCTCCTGACTGTTACTAGTGACTGCTGCTTGTGTCTGCTGGTTGTGATGTGACTGCTGCTCCGCTTCCTTATTGCAGGCACTCACAGACTCTCAAAGCTTTTCCAATAAGAGGTTTAGAGAGTGGGTGGGACACTACCTCTAATTGAAACCTCTTAGGGCATGTTCCTACGGCCCCTTATCAGGCCAACCTCTTATCAGGCTCGCGTCACAACACACTGAAATTTCCCTAAACCCAAAAACCTTCGCAAATTTTACCAGGAAAAAATGCGAAGCTGATACGAGGTGTCCCTGATAAGGGGCCGTAGGAACATGCCCTTATTGAATAAAACAAGCCCCTTTTATTGAGAGCAACCACACACATACCGTACATGGCAAGGGAAGGGAGCCTGCCCAGCATTTGCCAGGCTAGACTGACCAATGATAGTCTGGCTCCCCCTTTGTCCCTTAGTGCTGGCCATGGGATTGTGGTGGCAGTGAATAAATAGCCCTTCTTTATTGAAAGCAAGCACATACACACAAGGCACGGGAGCCAGCCCAGCACATGTCAGGCTAGTCTGACCAATAATAGCCTGGCTCCATCCCCTCCCCTCCCCTTCCCTCCCCTTCCCTCCCCTTCCCTCCCCTTCCCTCCCCTTCCCTCCGGCACTAGAAGATTTTCGACCCAACCTATTTTCAACGCGCATCACTATAACGGGTATTGGCCTGGCAGGGCCGCTCTCTCCTACTTTCGTGCTGATGGACGCGGGATTGTCGTGGATTGTCGTGGTAGCATGCGGGAGTGGGGATGATGTTGTTGATTGTGAGGGTGATGTTAATGGCGGTGGCGATGTTACGAGCACTGCTGGTGTCGATGGTATGGTATTGGTGATGATGCTAAAGCCACTGCTACGCTTAGCTGCTGCTACATCCGCTGATACAGCCGCCACTGCTAGACGTTCTGCAGCACGATAGACAGCTCAGCATCACTGCTAAAGATCTGGGGCGTCTTGCAGTTGGACAGCCGCTTGCAGTTGAGCAACCCCCGGTTGCCCCACACGGGTACTGGGAGCACCGGTCCCCCGCGTGCCACAGCCGCTGCTACAACCGCTGTCACACTAGACATTCTGCAGCACGATAGCCAGCTCTGCAGCACTCCCAAAGCTCTGGGGCGTCTTGCAATTAGCCAACCGTTTGCAGTTGAGAAGTCCCCCTGTAGCTCCACACGTGCACTGGGAGCAGCGGTCCCCCGGTTTGGGCATGCCCTCTATCCCTGCCATGTAGAACTTGGGTCCCCAGCTGGGCCCCGCTGCTCCACAGATGCCCTCTGTTGGCAGGATAAGAAGGGTAGAAGAGACAATGAGGAGAGAGAGAGATGGGGATGAGTCACATGTGACAACAGGGGCAATGCATGCGACCTCCCAGCTTGGGCATGCCCTCTATTCCTGCCATGTAGAACTTGGGTCCCCAGCTGCGCCCCGCTGCTCCACAGATGCCCTCTGCTCAGATGGGAGTGGGGAAGGAGGGGAGAGGAAAGGGGGTGGTAAGAGCAGTGCAAGAGCAGGTAGCACTGGGAGCAGCAGTCCCCCAGGCTTGGGCATGCCCTCTATCCCTGCCATGTAGAACTTGGGCAGTGCGAGGGCAGCCATCACTGGGAGCACCTATGGGCACTGCGGCTTGGGCATGCCTTCTATCCCTGCCATATAAAATTTCGGTCCCCAGCTGGGCCCTGCCGCCCCACAGATGCCCTCTGGTAACGGGAGAGTGGACGGGGATAGGGTAGAGAGGGACAGAAGAAGAGGTGGTAAGAGCACTGAGAGAGTAGCTGTCACTGGGAGCATCTATCGCTTGGGCATGCCCTCTATCCCTGCCATGTAGAACTTCGGCCCCCAGCTGGGCCCTGCTGCTCCGCATATGCCCTCTGAATGGGGGGTTGGGTGGGTAGAGAGACATGGTAGAGATGGTAAGAGCAGAGCACTGTGCGAGCAGCTGTCACTGGGAGCAGCGGTCCCCCGGCCGGCTTGGGCATGCCCTCTATTCCTGCCATGTAGAACTTGGGTCCCCAGCCGGGCCTTGCTGCTCCACAGATGCCCTCTGCATGGTATGGGAGGGAGAAGGAGGCGGCACGGGAGATCAAGGGAGAGGAAAGAGAGGCGGTAAGAGTAGAGCATTGGGAGCAGCGGTCCCCTGGTTGGGGCATGCCCTCTATCCCTCTGCATGGTATGGGAGGGAGAAGGAGGCACAGGAGATCAAGGGAGGGCATGTGCTTGGCATGTGCATGGCATGGGTTCGTGGGCTTGTGGCTATGGCACAATGTAACTTGGGAATTCCAGAGACGACGTGCACACAAGGGTCCACTGGCACACACTTCTTGTCCTTTCAAAGGCATGGGTGTTTGGCCTTGCAGGTATGGGTATGGGCCAACTGATTCAGCATGGGGCGGGGAGAGTGGTAACCAGGTAACTTACGGATGCCAGAGAAGACGCACACGCCCTTGTCCACTGGCAGACCCTTCTTGTCCTTGCCCCCTCCTCCTATCTTGGTGATGACGCACCTACCATGGGTAAGAGGGGCACGATGGGTCGAGAGGACAGGGGTCGAGAGGACAAGGGGAGGGTGAAGGGAAGGGCAGGAGCAGGCGTAAATGGTTGGTGCAGAGAAATGACAATGGAGCAGAATGTCTGACAGGGAGCATTGAGAGAACATGAGAGCTGGAGAGCACGAGAGAGAATGCAAATAGATGAGGATTCGATGTGATGGGCAGGAGACGGGTTGGGAATGATATGTAATGAGATGTGTCGTCATGAGGGATCCGATCCAATCGATCCGATATGATTTGATTGCATACATGTTTTGCTCTGTCGGGCAGCGAAACTTTCCCACGGGCTGCCCGTTGTAGTCAACGTAGCAGGCGGGCAGCGAGGAGCAGGAGCAGACTGCCCGGTTAGGTCCCGGCATCTTCCTTCTGTAGGAGCAGTCACACGTCTTGCAGAGCGCGTTGCCTTGCACGCCCTTGGTGCCCACGGCGTATGGCGTGCCGGAGTAACGACAGAAGGAGCCCCCTGGTGGTGGTGTGGGTGTGGTGGGAGAGGAGATAGGGAGGTGAAGAGAGAGTGAGCATCTTCCTCCTGTAGGGACAGACTGCCCGGTTGGGGCCGGGCATTTTCCTTTTGTAGGAGCAGTCACACGACTTGCAGAGCACGTTGCCTTGCACGCCCTTGGTGCCCACCGCGTATGGCGTGCCGGCATAGCGACAAAAATAATCCCTGGTGGTGGGAGAGGGAATGTGGGGAAGGGATGGGAAGGCAAGGCAGTGAGACGCTTGGAGGGAAGTACTGCCTTCCATGCCCTGCACGCCCCTTGTTCCCACCGCGTAAGGCGTGCCAGCGTAGCGACAGAAGGAGCCTCCTGGTGGTGGGGTCATGGAAGATGGGCGAGAGAAGAAGGGTATGGGCGAGGGAGGGGATATGGGCGGGAGAGAGAGAACTGCTAATACGGGGAAAAGAAGGAGGAGGTAGCAGGGCTGGGCAGACGAACAATGGGATACGGGAAGGGTTGGAGCGAAAGCAGGGCCGGTGGCGGAAGGTGGAGTCAGCAGGGGAAGGGGGGAGCAGGCGGAATAAAGGAGAGAGCAGACGAGGACAGGGGGGAGCAGGCGAGGAAAGAGGGGAGAGGGCGGGGGAAGGGGGGGAGAGGCGCGGGGTAAAGAGGTGGGGAGCTGGGTGTGCTGGTGTAGGCTAGTGGTGGGGGGGGGGGGCGGGGAAGGCGCGTACTGGTGTAGGTGGAGTTGCAGCGACCGACGTACTCGACTCTAAGGGCGCCTCAAAAACCGCATGTACAGGAAGCGAGCGGGGAAGGGGAAGGCTAGCGGTGGGGGAAGGGGAAGGCAAGCGGTGGGGGAAGGGGAAGGCTGGTGGTGGGGGAAGGGGAAGGCTAGCAGTGGGGGAAGGGGAAGGAGCGGGGGAGGTGCGTACTGGTGTAGGTGGAGTTGCAGCGGCCGACGTATTTCGCTTGCGGCGCCGACGGCACCTGGGTCACCACGCAGCTGCGGGGAGAGAGGGGGGGAATGCGCGGGGAGACGTGCGGGGAGAGACGGGGAAGAGGAACGGCGGGGAAACAATAAGGGAGTGAGCAAGCGCGCCGAGTCACAAGTGCCGTGGTTCGCTTGCGGCGCCGACGGCACCTGAGTCACCACGCAGCTGCGGGAGTCGCGCGTGGGGAGACGACGAGAGGAACGACGGGGAAACAAGCAGGAAGTGATTAAGCGCGCCAAGTCACCCGCGCAAAGGAGGAGCAGAGCGGAACTAAGCGGAACGCAGGGGGGCGACGGCGAACGAATGGGGAACGAGGGGGGAGGAAAGGGGAAGAAGCGGCGGACCGGGGCAGTACGGGAGCGGAACGGAACGGAGCGACGACCCGCCTGCGCTGATCACGCACGCGTATTCACTTGCGCGCACTCGCGCGCACGCAGTCACTTGCGCCCACTCACGCAGAAGCACTCACTTGCGCGCACTCACGCGGCAGAAGGGGTAAACGCCCCCCCGCTCGCTGTCATACGTGCGCACTCACTAGCGCCCAATCACTGCACTCACTTTTCGACACACGTGCGCACTTACTTGCGCTTGTTGCCGCGGCAGAAGGGATAGACGGGCCGCCGCTCGCTGTCGAGGTAACACGTGGCGCCGTCTGGGAGCGACGCGGACCCCGACGACGCAATGCCGTGGGTACCTGGGGATGCACGAGGAATAGGAGCGCGAAATGGAGGAGAAATGGGGGAGAATTGGGGGAGAAATGGGGGAGAAATGAGATGATGGGGAGCAGGGGAAAAAAAGGGGAACGTCTGGGAGCGACGCGGACCCCGACGACGAAATGCCGTGGGCACCTGCGGATGCACGAGGAGGCGGGCGGGCAGAAACGGGGGAAAAAAGGGGGAACTTTTGAACGCGATGGGGGCAGGGGGAAAACGAGTTGAACGTCTGGGATCGACGCGGAACCCGACGACGCGATGCCGTGGGCACCTGAGGATGCATGAGGAGGCGGGCAGACGCGGGGAAAGGGGGGGCGAGGGGGGGGAGTAAGGGGGAAGAGGGACCGAATAAGGGAGAAGTGAGGGGGATATGATGGGGTGGGATATGGGGGGCGAAATATCGGGTTAAGTTGTGCGATTGCGGAGTAGTGGTGGCAGGTGAGGGGGAACGAGGGGATGGTGGGAGAAGGGGGAAGGGCGAGAGCGCAAACTGTCTCAACAAGATCTGTCGTCCATCAATAAGAGGAATCTCGCCGAAAGCAGCGAGCATGCAGGGGATTTCGTATTTCGTGCGAACGCTGGTGACGGTGCGCACATGCAGCGAGCGCGGGGAGCGGAGAAGGGGCGCAAAGCAGGACGATAGGGGGAAAGCAAGAACGCATGGCTCTTTCGTACGACGCATGTAGGCGGGAATTGCGCGGGGAGGCGCGCACCTGAGCGAGCGGGGGGATGGTTGAAGCGGGGGAGGTGCGCACCTTAGTGAGCGGGGATGCGCGCACCTTAGCGAGCGGGGATGTGCGCACCTTAGCGAGGGGATGCGCGCACCTTAGCAAGCGAGGGAGAAGCGCACCTGCGAAGGCGGCGAGGAGGACTAGAACGGGTAGTAGCAGCCGGGTCATGGCTGCGGTGGGAGGAAGCCGCGCGACGGGAAGTGGTCTCGGGGGCGCGAGACGAGGCGCGAGGCGGCCTTGCGAGGCGATGACACCCAGTGGGTGCTTGCTGTGGTCGATGCTGGATTGGCTAACGAGCTGCCTTTGATCGAATGCTGCACCTAATGTGAAAAGTGCTTCTGAAGTGGAAGCTATTTCGTCAATCCAAAAGCTACTCTTTGCTCGACAAGTAGTGGGGAGAAATGATCGCGGCGTGCTTATGCTGGAGTTCGAGACGCTTGTGATGGACGGATCGCATAAATCAGGGTTTCGCGAATGTCGGACGGAATCTATCACAGACCCGAGCTTGATGACTTAAAGCGAACTGGAAGCGAATGGAGTGGAGGAGAGACATAGTCGTGGGATTGGTTACTTTCGAGGCACCTCAAAGGTTGTTGGTTGGGTTTCTCGGGGGATGGGGTGATCGCGCAGATGGGACAACGGGGCGCTAAATTGACGACGGGAAGCAACGACATGTGGGCGCAACGCGGCTAGGCTGAATGGTGTGTGGATGACGGCGAGATGTGAGAAACGCAGGGGAAGGTGGAACTGCTTCTCAGCACAGAACAGTACTGTACCTGGGGAAGTTGATGGCATGTTTGGGCGTCGCGTACAAGGGGTGGTTGGTTGGGCGGGTGAGGAGGGGCAGTCGAAATGTCCGATGGCTGGGATGGAAAGGGACGAGGGATGGGAAACACCCGTTGAAAGTGAAGAAACGGCTGCGACAAATACGGTTCGATTGCGGAAAGTTTAATTTCGAAGGAGCCCGTTGGAAAAGATGTACAACACCAGCAATTTGTGGCTCGTGAGCGACGGCAAAATCGCTCGCGATGAGGTGGTTGGGTGTGGTGCTTCAACGACTACCAGGAAATTCGCGCCTGCGAAGTGATTTATTGAAATTGTCGCACAAAGCGATTCGGCATGAAAATGTTTCCGCCGTCGGCCCAACAGGGACAACCGTGAGTGCAAGAATTGTCGGTGATTCGCTGGGAAGATTGTTCGCGGAGAAAGTGACATGCACTGTAACCGTCGACAGATAGAAACTCCAAGACAAAAATGCTATTTACAAGGAGACTCTGCAAGAAAGTACGGTAATAGACGAACCATGGCAGCTTCGGGTCATTTCTCTAGTAACAGCTCCACAATGAAACAAAAAACTTTCAAAACTATATAGATCTCAATTTTCAGAAAATGTTTTCTACCAATGTAGAAAATAAATTTATTGAGATAAAAAAAATGTTCATAACGTACACTATGAAGCTCTCACTAATTTAATAACTTTATTAATTTACATTCAAAGCGTACTTCTAGAACGTATTACAGACTTCCTCTAACGAATCAATGTTTTAGCATCAGGGCATCGCTGCAATACAGCCTCCAGGAAAATGTCTGGGTACGGTACGGTACGTTATGTTTTTATGGGGAGGGAACCCTCCGACTGGGAGAGGTTTCCTTGAATAAACCAATAAAAGGGTACGCCAGCTATCTTGCAAGCTCCCAGGTTGTCAGGTAGTACCTTCAAAGCTTGCAGAGCAGGATTCGGCAGGGGGAGGAGCATGAAAACGACCAGTAGCTCCCCTACCTGACCGTGGGAAACAACAAGTCAGGAGTTGTCAGTCCCAGGGTCTATGAATTGCCAAGAGCTTCGTTTAGATTCCAAGGGTGCAGGGGAGCACTGACACTGAAATCGGTATCGGTAGCACAAGGAATGCTGGATGAAAGAAGGGGTAATCCGCGCCACGATTACTGGGTGTTAATAAATGTTAAATTGCAAACCCTCGAAACATTTTCGCGTCTCGAGGTCTGTTTTGCATCTCATTTGCCATTGGTTGGCGAGGTAGCTGCCATTGCCAAGGTGTCCTCCCTGGGGCATGTCCCACGCGCCTCTCGGAGATTTCTTTCCGTGCTGGACTCCTCTTCCCTCCCTTCACCCGCCTCCCTTCTGCCAACCCCATCCCTTCCCCCGCGGCTCTCCTGCTGCTGTCTTGCATTTTGCTCCAGTACAAGCTCTGATTTACAAGAATAATTTCTGGCTTGCTTGGCCTTCCAGTTACGTCCCGTCAAACACATTTGTTCCTCAGCGCAAACTTCGCATTTCACAATATTTATCGTCCACAAGCGCTTTTACATTATCGCGTGCGCTGCTTCCGCTCTCTAGCTTTGAAATTCGGACAAAATCCCACTTCTGCCTTTTGAGCTTGAAATAAGTTGGCGCGCGCACCGCTGTGTACAAAAGCGCCGATTAACAGCGAGACTTCGCTGAATAACAAACGTGTTCTTGGCGCAAATGGCGGCTGCGCTATGCAAACACGGCTTCACGATGAACCGACGCCTCTCGACAATAATTTTGCTTGCTGCCGTTCTTACCGCCGCGCAAATAACGGCTGTTTCGTCACAAGGTACTACTTGCTACTATTTTTCAGACTGTCATATTATGTTACTCTCCAAAGCCATCATATGTTTTTCGCTCACGATCTCAGAGGCTAAAAGCCTTTGCGATTGATTCAGTTCGAGCGTAACACTGGATCGCATGATGATGCTGCCACGCGGAAAAGGTTTGAGCCCAAAACCGTGTTAAAGTGTGAATTATGCTGGAAAGTTGCGGATACGTTGCGAAAAGTATCCGAAAAACAACGTGCCGTTTCCGCAACCTTGAAAGAATCGCGTTGCAAGAGGAAAGCGTTGACTCACTCCCTGTGTGAGATGAAAGCGTTGATCTCCACAAGGTTTCCAATCATATAAGATGCTGCGTCTTTGCTTCTTATTCTTTCTTTTGTTTTGTTTTGTTTTGTTTTGTTTTGTTTGTGTGTGTGTGTGTGTGTGTGTGTTTTTTTTTTTTTTTTTTTTTGTGTACGACCCCTTGCCATTTTGAATCCACTCACTAACTGTCCTCGGTGCTCCTCCTTATCGTTTCCAATCCCCCCCCGCCCCCCCCTCCCAGCGTACAATCCTTGTACGGATGCCCCGTGTGGCATCGGCGGCACATGCAGCTGGGACACTCAGTATACGTGGACGTGCTCGTGCTATAGCGGGTACGCGGTCTTCACCACCTCATTCGACTTGGCCGGCGTAACCGTCTCCGGGCAAACGTGTGTTTGTAAGTCCGTGCAGCTGGGACAGTAACTGTTTACTGAAACGAGCTTGTGCTATAGCGGGTACACGGTCGTCACCACCTCGTTCGACATGGCCGGTGTAACCGTCTTCGGGCAAACGTGTGTGCAAGTCATGTATCTGAGACAGTGGGTGTACTGAGTCACGATCGTGCTAGTGCTGTATCGCGTACGCCCATTCATAGCTGTGAGATGGGAGGAAGCTCATCTTCAATTTCTGCTTCGTTTGCCTTTTCACGCTCTTACTCCGTCTCACCCCCCTGCTTTTCCGTCCTCTGTCCGAGCCGCTCCCCCATCAACGGTTCATTGAACCACTCATTCTGCCCTCTCCCCTCTGCTCTGCTCTCTCCTCTCCCCTCTCCTTTCACCCCCTTCACGCACTCTCTGCTCTTCACTCGATGCCCTTCCTCCTCACTACCCTACCTTGTCTCACCCTTTTTCGTTTCTCCCTTGTCCTCTGTCTCCCGTATCCCCCCCCCCCCTCGTCCCCCACCCTCTCCTCCCCCTCACCTCCTTTTCCCCCTCTTCCCCCAGCTGCTAGCTCCCCATCCTACGGCTCCCCCTCTTACTCCTCCCCATCCTACTCCCCCTCTTACTCCTCCCCATCCTCCTCCCCCTCCCCTCCTTCCACCTCCAACTCCTCCTCCTCCTCCTCTTCCTCTAAGGGCCTATCCACGGGGGCAGTGATAGGCATAGTGGTGGGCGTGATTCTGCTGCTGCTGCTGCTCGGAGGAGTCGGTCTCTTCCTCTGGTTCAGGCATAAGAACAAGGCCAGTGGGGCTGATAAGCCTGGCCAGGCGTACGGGGGAGCTGCGGCAGCAGCAGTAGGGGCTGATCTAGAGGCGAATAAGGGGTATGCGAACCCGTATTATGCGGGTGGTGGGGGGAGCGGAGGGGGGAGCGGAGGGGGGAGTGGAGGGGGGAGCGCGGGGTGGGGCAGAGGGGGAGGGGGGAGCGGGGGGAATGGCATGGCGGCTCCAGTGGCTGGGGGATACGGGGGATCAGGAGGGGCAGGGGCGGCAGCGTATGGGGCAGCAGGAGCAGGGGGGGCGTATGGGGCAGCAGCAGCAGCAGGGGGAGCGTATGGGGCGGCAGGTGGGGCGTATGGGGCAGCACCAGGGCCTCAGGCGGGGATGGGATCTGGTTCTGGGTCTGGTAACGTCATTCACCCCATGTACATGGGAAGTGAGTATGCTTGATCCCTTTGTGACATGCCCCGTGCCTAATGACCCATGACCCATTACTGTCATCAATGACCCATGATTTCTGACCCATGATTTGTGACCCATGATTTGTGACCCATGATTTGTGACCCATGATTTGCGACTCATGGTGACCGCATAACCATTTGCACCCCACAATTATGACTCATGACCAGGAAGGTGGGAGCATGACCTGCATCTTTTTTCCTGTTCTCCTTTTTATAGTCCATACTTCGATTTAATTCAACAATTCGTTGCTTTGTTCCGTCACGCCTCCTCACGTCCGTCCAGGTGGCATGTACCAGCAGCAGCAGCCACATCAGCACGCCAACGTGGCACCACAGCAGCCGCCCCAGCAGCAGCAACCAGGAGCCTTCCAATCACCTCCGTCCGTCTGCCAACAATTCGCCCTTACTGACCTGGCGCGGGCCACGGGTGACTGGGCGGAGAGCAACCGGATTGGCAGCGGCAGCTTTGGTGACGTGTACAGGGCTGTCAGTCCCTTCGATCCCTCTGTGCTGTGGGCTGTGAAGCGAGCTCGCGTGCTGACAAAGGACTTCCAACGAGAGGTATGCACACTGCACCCAGCAGCACTGCTCTGCACCTAGCAGCACCGCACTGCACCCAGTTTTGAGATGTCTCAACACATGCCTGTACAGGGCCGTCAGTCCCTATGACTCTTCTGTGCTGTGGGCTGTGAAGCGAGCTCGAGTTCTCACCAAGGACTTCCAACGAGAGGTGAGCTCTCTGCACCCAGCAGCACCGCACACACGCCCATTGCCACCATACCTGAGGCGTGACTTGTACAGGGCTGTCAGTCCCTTCGACCCCTCTGTGCTGTGGGCCGTGAAGCGAGCTCGAGTCCTCACCAAGGTACTTTCAATGAGAGGCGAGCTCGCTGCACCCAGCAGCACCACATGTGCCCATTGCCTGGGGCTGGGGTTTGTCATGCCTCAGGTGTGATGTGTACCTACCTACCAGGGCATCAGTCCCTCCACCCTCTTTCCCCACACCCACCACTCCCCTTCCATTCCTCCCTCGTTCTTTCCAGGTAGCAGCGATGGCGACAAAGCATCACCCTTACCTGGTCCGCCTGCTCGGATACTGCATGGACATGAACCCATGGGTTAGATTAGGTCCGCCCGCAGCGCCGGGCAGGGGCGACCTGAGCATGGAGCAGATAGTGGTGTATGAGTTCATGGCTCACGGGGACCTGAACCCAGCACCACCGCACTGTACCCCTTCCTCCGTTTCCTCCCTCTCCCAATCTCCAGGTGGCAGCCATGGCAACGAAACATCATCCCAACCTTGTCCGCCTACTGGGCTACTGCATTGACATGAACCCAGCAGCACCACGCAGGGGCGACCTGAGCATGGAGCAGATAGTGGTGTACGAGTTCATGGCACATGGGGACTTGGAGCGGTGGGTGGGGGAGGGGGCGCCACAGCCACTGCCGGTGGCGCAGCGCCTGGCGGTGCTCATCGGGGCGGCCCATGGGATCGAGTATCTGCACAGCTTTGGCATTGTGCACCGCGACATCAAACCAGCCAATATCCTGCTAGACGACAAGTTTGAGGTCAGCACCTGACTTGCTGTCGTGATAAGCACCTCTCTCTGTCGTTCTTTGTCATCATTCGGCTCACATCCCCTTGCCCTGCATGTCCCACCCCTAACCCCGCCAGGCCAAGGTAGCAGACTTCGGGTTGTTGAGGCAGAATGAGGGCACGACGGTGGGAGACACTCGCATCATGGGCACTCCAGGCTATGTGGACCCCGCTTACTTCAAATCCAATAAGGCCACCCCCATGGCTGATGTCTACAGGTACAGAGCGGTGCAGTGCGGTACAGTGCGGTACAGTGCAGTACAGAGGTGTACAGTGTGGGATGCATGGGATGGGAGTGATGGGCACACCAGGCTATGTGGACCCCGCTTACTTCAAATCCAAGAAGGCCACCCCCATGGCCGATGTGTACAGGTACAAGGCGGTGGAGTGCTTTGCCAAGCAATACAGAGTGGTAACAAGCAATAGAGAGCAGTGCTAAGTGGTATTGTCCTTTGTTTGGGAGTGCATGGGAGTGATGGGCACATTGGCTTATATTGACCCTGCCTTCAAGTCCAACAAGGTCACCCCCATGGCCGATGTTTACAGGTACAGAGCGGTGCAATGCGGTACAATGTTGTACTGAGTGGTACAGAGCGGTGCAAACCGATGTTGTCCCGTAAGGGAGTGCATGGGATTGATGGGCACACCGGCTTATGTGGACCCTGCCTATTCAAGTCCAGCAAGCCCCCCATGGCTGATGTACACGGGTTACAGAGCGGTGGAGTGGGGTACAGACCAGTGCTGAGTGTTACAGAGTGGTGGAGAGAGGTACAGAATGGTAGAAAGCGGTACTGAGCGAGCTGCACCTCTCAGCTTTGGCATCCTCATCCTGACCACTCTATCCGTTCACAGAGCACGCAAGGGAGATGGGTTTTATACTGTTCCTACCGCTCTCCACTACTTTCCATGCCTCCCCGTCCCCCAGCTTTGGCATCCTCGTTCTGACCACGATGTCCGGCCAAAACGCTCTCAAGGCGAATGGGTTTTTTATACCGCTCTCCACTCCTTTCCACACCTCCCATCCCCCAGCTTCGGTATCCTCATTCTGACCACAGTGTCGGGCAACAATGCTCTCAAGGCGGATGGTGTTTGAGTCAACTGAACCACCGCTCTCCACTCCTTCCCATACCTCCCCATCCCCTCAGCTTTGGCATCCTCATTCTGACCACAATGTCGGGCAACAATGCTCTCAACACGGACGAGTACGGCAACAATTTCAACGTCAGGAAATGGGTGAGTTGACCTTATCAACGTCAGGAAATGGGTGGTTGCCACCCGCAGTGAGATGCCTTTTGAGTCGACTCAACGGCAACAATGCCCTCAAGGCGGACGAGTACGGCAACAATTTCAACGTCAGGAAATGGGTGGTTGCCACCCGCAGTGAGATGCCTTTAGAGTCGACTCAAAGGCAACAGCGTTCTCAAGGCGGACGAGTACGGCAACAATTTCAACGTTAGGAAATGGGTGAGTTGTTATGCGAGTTTTAATGCACCTGGCGCCTCAGAAGTTGAGGTGCCTCACAAGTTAAATGGTACCTTCAACTTTTGAGGCACCTCGACTTCATCCATTGGTACCGCATTTGTTTATCTAAGTGTCAATCTATGTACCGTATTGTGTGCATCCCCTATATGAACCATCCCCATCCAGGCTGAGTCATTAGTGGCGGCCGGCAAAGCGGATGAACTGAAGGACCCGCGATTAGATGCTCCCGCAGATTTGATTCTGCGGCTGGCGCAGCTGGCGCTGCGCTGCACAGCCATGCCGACAGTGACTCGTCCCGATATGATCCAGGTGGTATCTGAGCTCACAGCGTTGAGGAAGGAATTTCTGGGGAAGGTGTCATCCAGGATGGCTGAGAGGATTGACGAGGAGGTGGAGTCTCAGAGAGTTGGGAATTTCAGTGCGGAGATAGAGATGATAGAAAAGCTGGCGTTTCAGGATAGCACCAGTGCAATGAGCATTCGCTAGGGGGGTTGGATTGAATCAGAAAAAAAATCACATCGTAGGTTCCAAAGGCTATGCATACCTTTTTTTTTTTTTTTTTTTTTTTTTTTTTTTTTTTTTTATATCAAGATGAGATTGCATCTTTTTGTTCCTGTTGGAGGGTATAGGAGGGAGTTGCGTGGTCATGCGACTTGGAACTTCTGACTGTAATGAAGCCGTCAATTGCATGATCAATTTGCTGGCAGTGAACTCCTAGTTTGTGATTGGAGTAATGTCAACGTGGTCAACGTGGTTCGAACTCAATAAACATTATTTTTTATTCTGCGAACTTTCAAGAAGGCGGGTGTAAAGCAGCACTCTTCCAGTACATGGTGGTATCATAGCACTTAATTAAGCAAATAATCAAGCTTCGTGTTGTGTGCTGCAGAGAACTGTTTTCATGCCAACCATCATATGCAATTGACGGTCATTTTCGGCAGTAACGTTGCGGGGCACGAGTCGCATGTATATATCCGAGTTCGCAGGTGTTTTATGGAGCCGCAGGGAGAATGGATTGGTATAAATTTGGGCAGTGGCGAGACGCAGGTGATGAATTTCCGACTCGCGTGATTTTCGTGACCCCACACTAATTTGTCCGTAGTGCAGTTACTGGGCAGTGTTGAGGCCACACTGTCATTGGTGGCTGCAAGCTCTCACACAGCTGGCGACGTCGCACTCCTCTTCCAATCAATCAAAAACCGCGTGGACCATGCGTCAACCCTACTTCAAATCTGTCAGCCTCCAGGCCACGTCCGCGCACCAATGGATTGTCCTCGCGGAATAAAAGAGTGATCGTCACCATCAGCACCAATAATGAGCGTGACTCTATCATTCATGTAAGCCGTCCACACGGAGAGCCAATTGAAATGCGCCGTGAACTGCGCTGGAACAATCTTTCGTGGTTTTTTTTTGGAAGGTGCGCATAGACGTTCTCGTTCGCACCCTTCGCCCGTACGGCAGGCGCACAATTATTCCCGCATCGCAGATTGGACCGATTTCCGTTCCCCCTGGGAAAACACTCGGCGCAGGAAACGGCACGCCTCATTGAAACCCCCCCGCCGAACCGGCCACTTCGCAGGTAAACGACCTTCACACCGCCAGTCAAGCTGCAGCGAAAACTGGCGACGAACGACCCCCCTCCACACTCGCATCCCCACACCGTCACACGAATTGTCCAGCTGTCTGCTTGAATTCGCAATACTTTTCGCCCAGAGCACTGTACCGGTCGAGGGGGTTTAGAAGGAAAAGAAAGTGGTGGTGAACGGTCGACTCCATCCGTCCCCTACGTTCTGCCAGACCTCTGCAGCAGTGCGTGCGACAGCGCATGCGCGACTACTGTTCCCCCTCCTGACACCAACGATCACCAACAGAACGAGGCGCACATGACGCTTCCCCCGTCACGCGCGTTTTCTCCCACCCTCCCTCGCACGCGACAGTAAGTGAGTGTGGGTGGGACGGTGGGTGGGGGACCGTCCGTCAATTGATCAGAGTGTACAGTGAACAGTCACACCAACCAGCCCCACCGACGTTCGAGACGAGAAACGGTGGGTCGTTTGTTCTCCCTGATTCCTGCACCAGCCGTCGCTTTTCAGCACAGTTTCACACGGTAATGGACCCGCAGTCCAATGTGCTCGCATAAAGTGCAGACCCCTCCCCCATTCTCGAGGACAACGAAAGCATTGCTTCCAATTTCCTACCCACCCACATTTCCTACCACCCAGTTAGCAAAATTGCAACAGAATACTGAAAAGCTCGACCTAGTTGGGCCTCCACGCCATCATCAGAACTCTTCGCGTAACTAGTCCTTAGGTCGTCCTACATTCTAAGATTTAATTTCCCGTAGCTCACGCTTTTCAATATGGCTGCTCCTAACTTCCGTAGCGCATCGGTTTCAGCTCCTCAGACCCGCCAGATCTCCCCTCCGCCTAGCAGGTTCGGCGCACCTTGCGCTCCGCCCTTGCGCCAAAACTCGCTCGACAGCTTCCGCGCCAAGGTCAAGCCGCTCGTGATCGCGCGCCCCGCTACCGCTGACGAGGCGCCCGGCGAGCGCCATCCTCTGGAAATCTGGGAGATTAATTATGACGAGATTTTTCCCAACTCAGCGCGCCTCGCGAAGCAGTTCGCTGAAAAGTCGCTCAAGCTGTCCAGCCCGCCCGTGTCCAGCGCCGCATCACCCGCCGCATCATCCGTCGTACCATCCGCCGCAGCTTCCGCCGCGGCTTCCGCTTCCGCTGCGCGGACAGCGCCCCAGCTGCTCACTCCCCGCGATCGCGTTTCTGAGGCGCTCCCGTCGCTGTCCCCCGACGTTGACAACTCCAGCCCTCTTTCCGAACTCGCGTCCCCGCAATCTCCCCCCAGCATTACCATTCCCGCGCGCGCGCTTGACGATTTCACCTCCCCCCCGTCGTTCCCCCAGCTGCGCGCGCACATGCTCGGTTGCAAGCTCGGCACGCCGTGTGTCGTGTCGCTCGCGCGCACGCCCGGCGATCCCGGCGCGTGGGACGCCGACGACGAGGAGTACGAGTCGGAAGAGAGCACCCGGCGGCGGTTCCGCCGCTCCGGTAGCACTGGCGGAAGCCGCCACTGGGTCGGCGAGAAATTAGGGGCATGCGGGGAAGGCGGAAATCAGAAAGAGCGCACGCGGGGGCCGTCTCCGCTGTCCGGGCGGGTTGTGGCGGGGAGTGGCGAGGGAAGGGCAGGCGGGAGTCCACAGAGGCAGCAGAGAGTACTCGTTAAGCGCTGCTCCGATCCCGTTATGAGGAGTCCACGAGAAGTGCCGTATCATGGGTCCCGGCTGCAGCAGGTTCGGGATGCCGAACCTGAGACTCGGCACCGCCTGGCTCGGACAAGCAGCAGAGGCTCGGAAACGTCGGTGCGCAGCTCCTCCGCCGGCCGGCGACGGCGGTCGTGCGGACGGTTTGGAGAGTCCCGAAGCGTAGGTTCGGAGAAGGTTCGCATTACGGTGCAGTTTTACTCCGACCTGCTCGATCCCTGCGTGATTGGCGCGCTCGCTGCGCCTTGCGCCACCGCCGCGAGTTCCGCGCGCCGGGAGCATAAGTCCCCCATCCGCGGAACCCAGAGCGGAGGCGAGGGGGAAGGGAAACGCCGCGCGGGCGGAAATAGCGGGGGAAGTGGTGGGCGCGCGGCTGGCGGAGGCGTGCAGAGCCCTCTTTGCGGAAGGGGTTCCCGCGGAGGGGTTGTGCGAGGCGGGTTGGCTGCGGCGGCAACCGCGGCTGCTGCTGCGACTGGCCCCTGTCGCGTCGTGTCGCTGTGCTGAAGGCGAAACCGATATCCGCGTTTCAAGTGACAACCCAGCAGCCCCGTCGAATCTACAGCTGCAATTTCTTCTTCATCGACATATTCATTCATTTTTTTGAGTTACAGCCATTCTGTAACTCGTGAAGACTGACCTTCCTACCTGCACATCTTGACCTGTACAGCACTGTGCAGAATACCATTAGGAAGCATTCCTATACTCTGTATAGAGTGCTCACTTGGTGGTAGATTGCCCATTAGATGTACGTAGATAGCCAGCGCTTACTACCATTGCACTTACCGTCATCGCCCGGATAGTAGACATTTATGTCTTATCCCGTACACTACTCAAAATGCTTGGGTTATCTTGTATTTAGGATGGTTTAGGGTGTCTTATAAGTCTTATGAATGGAAAAAAATATGAGTACTCTGTAACATTTGCAAAGTGTGTAGAAACCACCCAGGGGCCAGATTCATTGAAATAGGACGACCTCGGTGGTGATGCATGCAGCGCCCCCACTTGCTACGTGAGGGATGCAGCAAAGCTGCCACTGCTGGCAACATCCCTCCGTACTGGCAGCATGTAAGGGCGTGTGTGATTTTTTTTGGGGTTCGTATATTAGGTCTGTTAGAATTTGAGATGATTGAATAGGATCGTAATACTTAGGATGGTAGCTTCCTGTCGTAGCGGAAGTCTTGTATGAATTAAAGCCAGTTAAGGAGGCTTTGTCTGGACTAGTGAAAGCCCATGTAGTGATGTGTTTCAGGATCAATGTCTCTGAAATCATATATATTTAAAAATGACAAACATACAAAATATATAGCTAGAGTAAAGTACCTGTTCGTCTACTGTACTGTGCTACTCTGTCAGAATGTGATGTTTGTGTAGCCTGCAGTGGGGTACTCTATAGCGAGTACAGCCCGAATTAGGGTTTGCTATATGTACTGAACTGCATGCTAGTGAAAACCCTCTTTTCTTGTTTCTTGATTCTGCAGTGGGGTACTCTATAGCGTCGCACTGTACTACACGAATCCTTGAAGTGCTTAAGTCTTCATATTATCTCAACACTCCCCTTCACTTCTAGGAGTTCGGTGTAGTTACTCGGTTGTCTCAGAAACGCCGCTGAGCTGGTTGCAGTGGTGAAACTTCTGTCGTGTCAGTTTCTTGGTAAGTGAGTCAGCTGCCATGTCACCAGTTGAACAGTAGACAAGGCGCATTCTCCCCTTGTCGATCGCATCCTCGACGAAGAAGTAACGCAGTGAAATATGTTTCGTGCGATTGACGAAGCCGGGTTTGTTGGCGATGGTAATCGCACTCTGGTTGTCGCACTGCAACGTAAACTGATTCGGTGTGACGAACTTTGCTTCGTCGAGCAGTTCCTGTAAGTATAGTCCTTCTCGACTTGCAGCACACGCGGCAATGAATTCTGCTTCAGCCGAGGAAAGTGACACGAGTTCCTGTTTTGATGAGTTCCACGAGATCGGGCCAATTGGCTTGAGACGAAAAATGTAGCGTGTTCGTGACCGACGATCTTGTCAAACATATGTTTATATGTTATAGTTTAGGTAGGCTTTAGTGGGGTACTCACTGTCGGGTACAACCCATTAGGTTTTCCTTTTGTACCAATCTCTCGATAGTCCAATCATCCCTTGCCTAAGAGCTTAACATGGCATCTAGAGCATAGGTCCTTAGGACCTAGGATTAGGGCGCCTACCTGCCTTGCCTACTG